CCTCAGATAAGTTCTGCATGGGAAGCTGAAAAGAATACTATACATATGTAACAAGAGGTAGATACCCTGAGATAAGATTCAACACCTTAAAAATCATTCCTGATCCCCATCATACAACAGTGAACACAATGCTTTTATTGCCAAAATCGCTAGTAAGTAAAGTATTTCACATGTAGAAGCCTTATCTCAAGACAAAAAAGTACCCAGGAAACAGAAGTGAAATACAGAATTATTTCTAAATTTATAGAGAAGATATAAATGGCTGCCTCCCTAATACCATCTTCTCCAAAAAAAAGGCAAGCATTCTGTTATGAGAAAGTTGCACATTAAAAACTTAGGTTAAATTTACATTAATATTTTAAATCTACTACTCTTTTAAAATACTCTACAACTTTTATTAAAGATTATGAAAGAGTTGTCTTAGTTGTCAATAGAAGCCTATTTCTAAGTCATCTCTGCTGTATGGAGTACATATGGGTGAAAAAGCACCAATAAATTCAGGTACAAGTTTTAGAGGTAACTACCACCCAACTGCCTATATAGACTTAATTTATTTCTTTCAGTTGATAAATCAAATGGAATGTGTTTGCAATATCAGCCTCTTGCATTAATAGAGCTTGTCTTGGTGATCATCTCCTAGTTTGGGGGTTTGTAAATATTATGTATATACACACACACAAAGCAAATATTAAGCAAATCCAATCTAGTACTCTTAAAAATGAGTACTGCATAAACAAAACATAAGTGCACATGGCAATTTTATGTTCTACATCCACCCACACAATTGTTCTCAGCAATTCAAGAACAGAGTTGCATGGGCAGATTGACAGAATTTGAGTTACAGACATCTGTGCTGAAATAATGATCAGCATATGATGGTTTTGTTCATTAAGCAACTGATTACGGTCTTGTTTTTTTATTTATTTTATCCTCAAAAAGAAAATAAATACAATAATCACAGCAACAACAACAACAAAGCAGAATAAACTCAAGGTACTCTGCTTCCTTCATTCCCTCCCAGAGATCTACTCATCTTGAAACATAATCTTAGTGCTATTCCAGGAACAAGCCATGATAAAAAACTTGCACGTACGAAAACAGTGATCCTAAAAATCTGGGAAAAAATGGAATAAACTGCCAGATCCTATTTTCCTTAGCTGCTGCCAATATCACAGGGATCCCTAACAGACCAGATGTCCAACTGACAGCTCCCATGAATTGTTTGGCTCAGTGTTTAAAAGTGAGACCTCAGGTTAAAGTCCAAAGCAGAAAGTCTTTTCCTTCCAGGACATTTTGTTTATGCTAACTGTACAAGGTTTTATGATCTTCCAAAATGCCTAATCTTTCTTTGAAGCCTTCTAGGGTGAGTGACCTCATTTTGCCCCAGTAACTTCCTATGGCAGCAAGTTTTACAGTCTGATTATCCACTATGTCAGCAGGCCTGATAAGCAAAGCAGTCTTGGCAAAAGTCTAGAGACTAAAGCAAATGATGAACCACAAGTCTAAGACAAAACCAAGTTTCTTCCTTTAAAGGAAAGACTTGATGCTTTTTTTTTGTCATGGAATGTTCTCATGCTCCTGTAGTACACAAACAGCAGAACTACAATTTGTAACTGTAATTTTATTCATGTCATCCTCCCATTCCTCTCTCTTGCAAGGTAAACAATTCCCCATCTTCAATTTTCTGAGCTAAAACGAGAGAGATCACACCTAGGTTTTGTTCCAACAGCTTGCAGCAGCAAAGTTTCACAGCTTATCTTTAAGCATCAAGATTTAAATTGATTAACTGAAAAAGAGGATAAATCTGTACCTTTTCCACACCTTCCTTGGAGTTCCAGGGCACAAACCTTTTCTTTCTCTGGGTTTCAGTCAATACTGAATGACTTTCCAAGAATTTGATTCAAGAGAAACAATGAAGCAAGAACCAGATACACAATGGTGTTATCTCAAGGCATGACCCACCCCAAAACCTCAGGTGGTACTGCAGCATGCATTCCTACTGGAACAAAAGGCAGAACAGCAAAATACAACACAGCTTTAGGTTGGCACACCTATTTCTTCTGGCAAATGCTGGTAGAACTGAACTGGAGGAACGTGCAGACAAATATAACCAGGATCATTATAATAAGAGCTAGATCCCATGGATTTCAAAAGGTCAGGACTGTTACCACACAAACCCATCTATGGTTCATATCATTCTACTAAAAGAATAGGTGTACCACACCTCCAGGGTTGTCTGTTCCATTACAGACAGACCTGTCATCAAACCATTTTTAGTTTCTTTTGCTCAGGAATAAACAGAATCCTGATCAGCAAATTCTTTTCAACCATAAATTATGCAGCACATCTTCCAGTTCTTTAATACTGCCTAGTCTTGAAAGCTACAGGGATTTCACAATTCTTCCTGTAACATTTACAAAATATTTCCATAAATTTCCTACTTACTGAGCAAATAACATATCCTCTCCAGTTAATGTTCCTGACACAAGGTACTACACATGGAGCACCCAGCTGGTTCTCTCAATAGGAGAACAGCACAGACAGAGTTTGTGGGCTTGAAATTTCCCCAAGAAGAAAACCTGCCTTCAGGGCAACAGGCACAGGCAAGAACTGGTGCAGCAAAGACCCAGGGTTCTGGTTCATAGCCCTGCTCTTACATGTGAGAGAATGGATGTGCAGGGCTCCCAAGGGCTTCCCCTGTACTGAGCAGTGGTTATCCTGTATAGTTTGTCTGTTCAAAAGGGAATAAATCTAAGAAAACTCAAAGCTCCCTTTTGCCACCATCAAACTCAAATTCTAAAATCCAAGTAGAAGGCGTTACACGGGTGGGTAAAGAAATAATCTCACACATTTTATATGGGTATTTTGCTTTCTAAAATATCTCCTATGAATAGATCTTCCCCCAGTTTATAAGCAAAGCACATTTTAATAGTTTTCACTCAGTGCATGACCACAGATATTTTTATAGCACACATATCTTCAAAACTGCATGTGGGACTCTCAGTGAGCAATGATCTAACTGATGGAAGTCACTAATGATTAAACATTACCAACAAATGATCCTTTTCAGCCAGGCCTTACTATGTTTAATCTCAGCCAGCCCACAGCATGAACTCCAGCTATGAATTCATGCTGCTAGGCTTGTCACAGCAGGATGCTCTGGGTCACTGACAGCACGCCAGCAGGCATGGAGGGATGGAGGAATACCACAGCCCAAGAGCTCTGTGCAGGGCAAGCCTGTGCCATGGCCCACAGCAGATGAGGGGCTGCTGGCTTCCCAGGAACACTACATTCACAAACAGAAGCAGCACTGTGTCCCAGTCCCCTGGTTTAGGATGCTGACTTTGTTTAGCAAGAGCCCTATTTTACACAACTTTAAACAATTCAGATGTTTTTGGAAGATGGCAGGGGAGAAGGGAATCCCTTGATAAGAGACATGTGAATCGCTTGTTAAAGTGGAGACACAGAGATTTAGTTCCAGAAAACAAAACCACTGTTGTATCTGTTGCAAAATGTGAAATATGTATAAATTTTCTTAAGAAAGGGTGTTGTTGGATCTTTGTATACATTGCAGCCTAATCAAAAAGAACTGTGAAACAGATAGCAGCTAACAAGCAAACTCTCAGAGGTGTCCTGGGCTCAGAGAGACAAATTTCTTGTTGGTAGAATTGCCTTGTTAAACCTTATTAAGATTTAGGGCTTGACATGACTCAGTGGTCTCAGACCTAGGGGAAGGTTAACAAAGGTTTAGGATGTAGCAAGAAGGATGTACCAATGATAGTGGACACAAAGAATGCAGAATTTACAGACCACAAAGACATCTGCTAGAGCTCCCAAGATAAGGAAGCCAACTCAGCAACTGTGCTGAATCAGCTCTGACTGGGTAAAAGGTAATCCTGGGAGAGGGAGGTGGCAACCACCGACTCAGACCATCAATAAACCCACAGACCCAAGAGAAGAGGAGGACTGAGCCTGTGGAGTAATTACTATGGGAAACAAGAAAAAACAAGAAATTTATTGACAAATAGAATATAGTATACTAAGTAATAAGAGAACTAGGCAACTTCTAGCCAATCGCTATTCACGCCTCTGTTTGCTAAAATACAAAGTAAAAAGTTTTGGTAGTTGCTGTACTGGATTTCTGGAACACCACTGAGGACCCAGGCTTGCACACCTCTGAAATAAATATTCCATGTGCCTGTATCAGCAATAGTGTGACCAGCAGGACCAGGGAAGTGATTTGTCCCCTCCACTGGTGAGGCCACATATCGAGTCCTGTGTCCAGCTCTGGGTCCCTCAATACAGGAAGGACATGGAGGGGCTGGAGTGTGTCCAGAGAAGGGCAGTGGAGCTGGGGAAGGGTCTGGAGCACAAGCCCTGTAAGAGCAGCTGTGCGAGCTGGGGGTGTTTAGGGAGAAAACAGGGAGGCTCCCGCACACCACCTTGTCACTGCCATTCCCGAACGGGACTGCAGCCATGTGGGGATGGGCCGCCTCTCCCAGGGGACCAGCGGCAGGATGAGAGGAAATGACCTCAAACACCTCAAACTGCCCCTGAGGAGGTTTAGTCAGGAATTTCTTCACAGAAAGAGCGATTGGGCACTGAAATGGCATGCCCGGGGGGGTGGTGGAGGCACCGTCCCGGGAGGTGTTTAAGGAAAGCCCAGACGTGCACTCAGTGTCCGGTCTAGTTACACGGGGGCGATCGCTCATAGCTGGGACGCGATGCTCCCGGAGGTCTTTCCCAACCTGACTCTGTGACCACCGCCTTGCGGCACAGCGGGTCCCCGTTGGGTAACACCCAGCAGAGCGGCGCTCCCGCCCCAGCGCCGCCCTCACGCTGCGGGCAGCAGCGGGCGGCGCGCACGGGCGGGGCCGGGCGGGGCCCTGTGGGAGCAACCGCCCGCGCGCTCCGCCCCGGCACCCGGTGTGGGCGGAGCCCCGCCTCCCGCCTGCGCCGATTGGCTGGAGCTAACCACGCCCCGCCCGCCCCGGGTTTGCATCCTGCCCCGCCCCCCCATCCCTGCCGTTGTCGCCCCGCCGCTCCGGGGGCACGGCTGCCCTGCCTGACTGGAAATTGACGCCGGCCTCGTTTTTCCGGGAGCGGCGGGCGCACTCGGGAGAGGCGAGCTCGCACTGCTTTGCTGCAGGCCACTGTATTTTTTCGGACTTTTCTGTTTTCCCGTCTCATTCTTTCCGCGCCCTCCCGCGCAGGCGTCCCTGCGAGCCGGCGGGGCCCTTGGGCGTTACGGCGGCGCAGAAAAGCCGGCGCGGGGCGGGGCGGGGCCTTTCGGCCGAGCCGTCGCAGCCGGTGCCCGCCCCGGCCCGCCATGTACTACAAGTTCAGCGGCTTCACGCAGCGCCTCACCGGGGCCACGTCGTCCGCCGCCTACACCCCACAGGTAACACCCGCACCCCGGCCGGGCTGCGGCACCGCGGGCCTTGGGTGAGCCGGGCCGGGCTCGGCCGCCCCCGCGGGCACCGAACGTACCCGGCCCCGCGCGTGACCTTGGGCGAGAGCGGAGGCGCGCTCTGCCCGCAGTCGGCTTTGGGATGTACTGGGGGCTGTGGCAAGGAATTAACGCGCTTTCAGCACAGAGGACTGTTCCAGAGCTGAGCAGTGCCTGGCGGGGTTTTAAAATCACCGGATCACAGAACCAGTCAGGTTGGAAAGGCCTCCAGGAGCACCGAGTCCAGCCTGTGACCGAGCACCTCCGTGTCTGCTGGACCTTGGCACCGAGTGCCCCGTCCAGGCTTTCCTGAAACACCTCCGGGGACAGCGACTCTGTCACCTTTTTTTCTTTTCATTTTACGGGTTAGGATTCGGAGTTACGTTTTGGGGTTAGCTAGAGCCCTTGCGTGGTTATGGGGTGGCAGCTGAGGGGCTTTGTGGTGGAGCTCTGGAGGTGCTGCCAGGCAGAAGCCAGCAGCGTCCCGGCTCTATCACCCTGTGAGCTGCTGATGGAGGAAAGCATCGCTGTCCCAGGCTAAGCACTTACTGGATCACATCCAGGTGCCGTGTCCAGCTCTGGGCCCCCTGCTCTGGGAATGGCAGCTGGAGCGAGTTCAGCAGAGGTCTGCAGGATGGAGCCAGGCTCTGCACAGGGGTCCGTGGTGGGAAGGCAAAAGTCACCAGGCATAAACTGCAAGGAGAGGGGTTCAGGCTGGACAGAAGGAAAGACATGATCATGGTGGGAAGAGTCAGGCAGTGGAGCAGCTGCCTGGGGAGCGAGGATGTGCCCTCTGTCCTCAGGGGCTTTCAGGGCCAGGCCAGACTAAGCCCACAGCAGCCTGCTGTCACATTGCTCTGGATCAAAGAGCATTAGGGGGCCCTTCCATCCTGAATTACCTTAGGATCTTAAATAAACACCGAGGTAACAGCGTTTCTGTCCCAAGAAGGGTTTTTGTCCTTGTCTCTCCCCATCACTTTGGAAGGCTTCCTGGATAGCTGTTGGGGGTCAGGGGTGCAAAAAAGGGAAGACATCAGAATAAATATTTTAGTATGTACAGCACTTACACAGTAGCAATACATCCAGCACTGCTGCAGTGATTGGGGCACCTCTTACCTCTCTAGACAGAGTTATATTTAGAGAATAAACATTGATACTTCATTTACATAGTGGAGACCAAAGGCTTGGGGGAGGAATGGGGAAGGAAGGACTTCAAGCCTAAACAGTAAAGAACCTCCTTCATTTTCAAAAGTTACTTTCAGTCCCTTTTTATAATGTTATTAGGACAGCTTTTTTGTAGAATTTCCTTTTTTTTCCCTAAGCTTGACTGAATTCCCAGCTCACACATTTAGATGCATCAGTCTGCTAAAAATGTTTTCAATAAACGACAATTGAAATATAAGAGTAATCCCATGAGTGTTAAGGTGTTAAGTTTAAAACAAAGTAAGTTTTTTTCCTATTGATTTCATTGCTCTGTTTATTAAAACTATAGTTCCACATGTAAAGTGGTTTGCTTTTTATGCTTCTATTTATTTTGATGTTTCTTGAAAAGTGAAGACATTCTGCTATTCAAATTCTCCTTGGTAACATATGCATGATACTAATTCTCTTTGTTCTGCTGTTACATTCTGGTGCTCCCTAATAGAATACTGTTTTGCTGCAGGTTTAAGCTTACTGTGGGCTTGCAAAATATCAGTCTGAATGGATTTCAGAAATTATTTTGCTGACAATAACATAACTAACAGCTTAACAAAACAGCTAACTAATAACAGTTAACTAACAACTAACAAAAAACAACCTCTCAAGTTTGAAATCCATATTGTTCTTTCCATCTCAAACTTAGCATGCGTAGAAGACTTAATTTTGCATTTAACAAAGTTGTATAAAGTAGTCTGAACAATTTCTCTTGTTTGAATAAATGGGAACTTCCTTAGCTAGTTGAGGGGTGAAATAGTTTCAAAACTACTATTCATATTTAGGAGGATAATGACTGCCATAACCATTACAAATTCAATAAAAATATTAAAGAGTTTGCTTATGTTTAAAGTACAGTCACTGGGACCAGTTTCAAATGGTGTCAGATGAGGACAAGTACATGAACTTTCCCTAGTTCTTCTACTGCTAGTAAAAGAAATTTACTAGCAGGAATTTACTTGTGCTACAGTATTTTCACTTCATGCAATTTATTTAGCTTGTAGCTTTTTAAAGCCTCCATGAGCCACAGATATTTTGATTTTAGCCTATATGAATTGCTTAGAATCTATAATATGTAACCTTTTATGCCCTAGATAATACTTGGTAGGTACACAAAATCACTGTCCTTGCATTGTCATCCCAGTACAAAGACTCAAGTGGTTTTGCCTAAGAGCCTTGTGTTAGTCATAACAAATACATCTAACTTAATGCAGTGAGGTGTATTCTCCTGTGAAGGATCTGCTACTTAGTTTAGAAGTGTCTAGGGTTCAATAGGTTCACAGAAATTGTTTTAATGCATGTTCTGCAACCCTGATTCTCAGAGTAACTTCCCCATTCCCCTTTGGTCCTTATCTCTGTTTCCTCTCCTTTCTCATTCTCAGATCTGTTTGAGCAACTCCCCTTACATTTTAAAATTTAAGAGTGGTGCTATCTCCATTAAATTATGCTCCAAGTCCTTAAATGTTTTTTACTGTCAGGAAAATGTAAATCTAACTTGCAGATTCATACTAGCAAGGCGTAAATTTGTTTTAACTTTGAGCCTAATGGCCAACCAACAGATACATTGGGTCCTCAGATGCTCAGACCTCTGACAGGAAAACAAACGCACTCTGCAGAAGGGTAGACAGAGAGCTCTGTTTGCTCTCTTGGATTAGCTACTTGTCCTGACCTTTCATTGAGAACTTTCAGGACTTTGAAAAAGTCATTGCTGTAGCATGCTGATGAAATCAGCTGATGTTGACTCTTCTACATAATTACATCTGCTGTACTTTGTCCAAGACTTGGAAGAAAATCATAGTGATTAAAAATAAAAGCTTACCACCTTCATATCAGAAGAGGAATTATCAATTATTAACTTTTTTTTTTAATTAAGCATAGGTCAGATGTGTAGGGGCATTAATTCCTCAGTACTATCCTGAGTGTAGTGAGACTGATACCAGTCATTAAATAAACCCATGGCTTTGGTAATGTTAAATACAGTGACCAAGGGTCACTTAAGGTGTGTCAGTTTTTACTTAGAAATTTTCTGCAGTGAAATTCGGCCTTTACATTACACTGTGGATTTCTCCTCAGCCATGCTAAGCTTAGTAAACTGGGTGTGAGATAAAGCACTTGTCACTTTCTCTCAATAACAGGCAATGACAAGGTGGAACAGCCCCCCATTTGCACTAATTTAACTGGGCTTGGTTGGGGTTGGCCAAGACTCAATTCACTTGGAATTCAAGTGAAATTTTTCATTGGTGAGGAACCTTAATTAATGCAGTGTCTGGGTTAAGCAAACTGAGTTGTCTCCCTTCTGCAGCATGTGTTTTGTTGTACTCTTTCATGAGGCCAGTGAACAACATCAGTGTGTTTTATTTAAATTGCTGTGTGATGTCCTGAAATGGCACCATGCTGCTTTGGAAGTAATTTACACCAGTACACTGATGATTATGTGAGTTTTCTGACCTGATTCCATTTGATTTCACAATGAAATTTGTCTCTTGAGTGGGGTCTGCAGAAGGGGCTCTTAAAAGCATCTGAACAGGAATGTATTTCTAAAGGCTGAAAGAGTGTGCAATAACCTACAGTTGTTGATTTACTAACTGAAGTTATTAGAGGGCACTGCTCCTGAAAACATTGGGCTTTCAGGAAGGCAAAAGGGAGATTCAGAACTGGAAACTTTAGGGCACAGAAAAGATGTGCATTTTCACATTTGCTGTGATACTAACAAGCAAGAAGGCAAGAAAAGGTTTGGAGAAGTCACCTGCACATTTAGTATAAACATCTGTTCTATAGTTATTTCTGTCAAATCACCAACTTTTTAAAGACAAATCTAATTAAGTACTTAAAGTTCCTATAGACAAAAATACTTGTCCAAAATTGCTTTCTTCAAGGCCTCTGATGTAGCTGGTACCCAGCCTTGAATATATAATTAGTAACTTCCCCTGGCTAACAATAGTTTCCTAGATGCTTCCTTCATTGCAGTGTAGCCAGAAGTGGTCACTGGTCTTAAATGATTTAGTGCTTGCCTTCTGTGCAAGCCTGCTCAGTAGGAAGAAAGAAATTCAGTTTTGCTGCTGCCTTTCAAACATAACCAGAAAGGTCACAAGTGGATTCTAACATTCAGTCAGGCACTACAAGAGTGGGAAGCTGAACCTGCATCTTCAGCTCTGATGACCATTCCAGAGGCTATTTTGGGAGGTTGAGAAACCTGGTTTTTCTGCTGAAGATGCCTGTTGCAGCAGAGAATTTGCATAAGCAAAACACATCTGGTCTATGGCTGGCACAAAAGAGAGAGTGCCAGTCTGCTTCCAGCTCCAAATATTGTCACACAGTTCTCTTCAATATAAAATGCATCAACTAGTCCTTTGAACAGAAACCAGAATTTCAGTGCAGTCTCGACCTGTGGCTGCTTCTGTTTGTAATAAAAACCTGTTGCATTGAACTGACTGTACAATGCTTTTTAATTTCTGTGGCAAGTTAGGAAAAAAAAAATTCAGCTGTTTTGAGAGACACAATGTGAAACATCACTGCTGCATGTCCAGATGTATAAAAACAAGGAGGCCACCTCATGTTGGCTGTGAATTTGTGCCCTTTGTCACAGAACTGAATTATGTAGTTTCTAGATATGGCAAAGTAGAGTACAGAGTAGAGTACAGCCTTGTGAACCGACAGGAAGTTGAGCCGTGCTTCTCATGGGATGTACATTGGGGTGTGGGAAGTTGCAGCAACATCTGAACTATAGGATGTAGTTACACCTGCACAAAATATCTGCTATATCAGGGTCTCTGAAGGGCCTTGAGCACCATTTACACTTCTGTGTGACCCAAATGATCCTCATACTTTTTTTTTTTTAAGTCCCCAAACTATTCATCCAAATTATTTAAGGCTCAGTTATTTATGGCTACTGCTTGCAGCATTCAGGAGGTAGAACTTATTCCTTACTCTGACCTTAGCATCAGGGATCCTTGATCCTAATCCTACTTCTCAGAGAGAGTCCTAGATAGTCTCTGTGTAAAACAGAAGCGGTAATTTGGACCAAGTACCAGCACAGAAAAAATAACAGCTATAAATTCATGCCATGAGGAGATTGGAAAGGAGGCTGCTATTTTCCTTGCTAAGCTCTGACCCCAAGTTGTCACCAAGATATCAGTGGGCCACCAATGTATTTGTCACAAGTCTTCATACAAGATAAATACTCTTTGTAATGTATCCTTTTAGTGTGCCTGCCTAATGTAACAATTGGTACATTTACAAGTGATATACCCTGATATTTTAATCTCTATTTATGCAGGGACTCAAACCATTAGCTCCCACTGATTACCCACATCTGATTTTTGGGACAAGTAAACCTGCTCCAGGTTTATCACCAGCTGATTCTTTCTTGGGTAGAAACAAGGTGCCATACCTACAGAAAGTTTTTCAGGTAATGACAACACTGGAGAGTGGGACATTTCTGTCCTTATTTAACATAGCTAACTACTTTTGCCATTCTACAATACCTAAATTCTGTAAAGTCTAGTCAAGAAACTGTCACATACAGTATAACCTGTGTACTTGTACTATACTACAAAGTACATAATATGCCTTGAATAGTAGATAAATACAGAAAGTGGTTAAATGCAGCAACATTGTCTTTTTGCTGAAATTGGTTGTTGTACCATTTGACTATTGGAAGCACTTTCTGGGAATCCACATGTCTGCCTTAAAGCAGATGTGGAAGAGCAAAGCAAATTGTTACTCTTTTGTCTATAATAATTTGAATGTTGCTGAAGCTGTTTATAGTGCAGTATAAGAGCAGCAGAGTAAAGTTTTCAAAGCCAGTTTGTTAGCTATGGAATTTCTAAACGTAGGACTTTTCTTTAAAAAAAATGAGTTAAGCTTTTGTTTAAGCCTCAAGAATGTGCTTTATATAATGTTCCCTTTTCTCTCTTACATGCCACTTCCATTTGGAATGTGTCAGTCTGACTCGGTGAATAATTTTTTATACATATCTTTTCACATTCTGTTGTTAGTGACACTTCTCCCATCCAGGTTCTCTTGAGAAACATTTCAAGATACATTCTTTCTGCTTGCACTTAACAGCTTTGGCTAACAAGATTAACTTGCCTTGCATTTGTCTTGTTGACAAAAAACACTTGGTTGTAGTGAGCCCATTTGTCAGGAGACTTCCCTCTTGGAAGTCTCTTAATTTACCTAAAGTAGCTTATTCCTTAATGACCTCAGTATGGGTGTTAATTTCTTTTTTGCTTGTTTTCTCCTTGAACTCTTCCCACAGAAATCAGATGGACTGCCAGTACACCTGAAGCTGGGATATCCAGACAAGCTGCTCTATCGGACCACGATGGCTCTGACAATAGGAGGGACTATCTACTGTCTGGTAGCACTGTTCATTGCCTCACAGCCAAAGAAACAAAAATAAATGAACCACACCTCATGGGACTCTCAGAACTCCACTGAAGGATATCCTGCATGACCACTTTGCACTTAAATCTGTTCCCTGTGATCACATAGGGATCGTTATTCAGATCGGATTTCTTGAAGAAAATGTTTTAAAATCTGTTGCCTTATGTATTCTAAAACACCAATGTAAACAGAGAAATACAATATTTTAACATATGGTTGTAGTTTTTCTTGTGTTGCAGGAGTTAATAAACAGTTGGAGAAAGTTAAGCTTTTCCTTCCATCTCTCCCCCAACTTAAGCCATGTTAGAGAGAGGACAGGACAAATAATTTGTGAGCTATGCACCACATTCCTTCTCTCTGGAGCATTTAAAGTGGATTTATTCCATAACTGTAGCGTCACTGTAGGCAGCAGAGTGCACCATTATTATAGCCTCACTTACACCAGTTTTTGGACCTTCTGTTGTCCGGCTGTATCGCCATGCAATAAAGATAGCTACATGAATACTGAAAGAGTCAAGTCTCAAAAGTTTCAGAGCATTTCAGCACACCTGAAGTAAACATTGGTATACTTATAGGTTCAACTTGAAGATCTCACATAATAAAATTGATTCAGCTTGCTGTCATCTTTTTGAGATGAAAAAGCTCTTAAAACCTCTCCCAGACCGCACTGTGTGTTTAACTGTAATTTTTGGTGAAACAGGTTGCTGTCATCATTCAGCTGCTTGCTATTTCCAGGGCCTGCAGGTAGCTATTTATGTACACTCATTTCTGTGGATGGAAGAGAGATAAGCCAATACATCCCTTTATATTACCCTTGTAATAGCAGAGCCTTGAACTGCAAGTTTCATACAAGTCTTCACAAAATGCATCCTCTGATTTCATAGTTCCTCCTCTGCCCCTGAACATTGATTTACTGGCCTCTGTAAAGACCCATCTGTCTCAGAACTGTGCAGAAACAACCTTCAAAGTAAATAAGAAAAATAGTTTATAAAGGAAATTAAACTGCCTTTTTTCAATCTTTACTAAAAAAAAATCTGATTTTTTTCCATTTAAGTTACATCAAAGCCTTATTACTGCTTTATAGGAAAGAGAAGAGCTTCTTGTAATGTGAACTCAGGTTTCAGTCAATGTTGGTATTTTAGGATGGGAGAGATTTAAGTCAATGAAAAATAGTTTTGTAACGACAGCAAGAGTCAAAGAAAAGCAGATAAAAATATTTTATCAGTAGAGGCAACACAACTGTCAGCTCCTGCAGAATTTATTATCTCCTCAGTAGCCCATGCTTCCATGGCACTCAATCTTGTGCTGTAGGCTGTTAAATACTACAAAAAAGAAAAAAAATAAGAAAGAAAAAAGAGAAAACAGCACAGTAGGTTGTTGTCTGCCTTCCCTGCATACCATCTATCAAGGACTGCCTACAAGAATTTTCCAATAAAGGATATTGTGCACGTAAACTTGACAGATTTTCATGAACCTGAGCTCTGTTCAGAGTATTTCCATGCTCTCTGTTTTTTGATTTGGTTTTGGTTTTTTTGGAGGGGTCAGTTAGGGATTTTCTTTTTTTGTCTGTTTTTGTGATAGTACTTGGTTTTTTTGTTTTAAATCAATTATTTTTAACACTCATCTAGCAGGTAAGAACTTTCTGCATGCTGCTAAAGCAGATGTGGATGAAATAACCAAGCTGTTATCCCACAGCTCATTAGGCAGTGGGAATACTGTCATAGAAGGAATGACAGCCTTAGCACTCAGGCCCAGCTTGCTTTCAGTAACTCAGCTAGGACATTGGGTTCATGTCTTGCAATTAGATTTCATGGCTGAGGCCACAGATAAAAGAATTGCCCTGGGCCTCCCTTTTTCCAGCTCTATGCCAGCAGCTGAGAACACATGCCAAAGGCACAAAAACCACCCACCAGATTTTGCAAGTAAGCAGAGACTACATAATCCATTGCACTTTTCTCCCCCTTCCCCCCACCAGTGTCTGGGTTTTGAAGAACTGTGTTCACTTTGCTCTTCTTGCAAAGGCTGACCCACTTGAAGCAGGATGAAAGTTCTACTTCATCTTGTGAGATTCACCCATGGTTCAGCTGGGGGTTAGAGAACAGAGGCCTGTCTGCTCTGAAAACCAGGAAAAGTTTCCAAGCTGTAACCTCGTTAGTCTGTGGCAGCAAAATTTTGCCCCTTTCCTCAATTAGTTTTGAGATCATCATGAAGAAATCTCAACATGGTAAATCCTTTTTCTCCCTAAATAAAACAGCTCTTAAATACATCTGTTTTACAATACTGATGCCAGACTTCTGTGAGGATTCAAAAGGGTCCAAGTGTTTTGAATTATTATTTGTGACACAGCCACCTAATCATCATCTTAGGCCTTCAAGAACACTCTTACCTCTAAAAGGAGTAGTCTGACCCTTACCTGATTGTTCAATAAGGACTTAGATAAGGAGAACCAGGGGTGACTTGCAGCGTCAAGGCTACTTCAATATTATGAGCTGTGATCCCCAGTAGGAATCTGATGGGAACTGCAACTTCATTATAATGTTCTTGTTTTATAAAGGCCCTCTCTGTTTTCTCATAGAAAATATGCAGCCTACCAACACAAAGGACTGGGGGGAGAAAAAAAGCCTTTTTAAATGATAGCTTATACTCTAGTGTTTTGGTTTGAATGTATATTAGAGAATAAATTATAATAAGCTCTCATACCCCAAGGTGCCGAGTTTGGAAGGGAAAGCAGCTGAGATTTAGAATACACTGGAACAAAATTATTTCATGGATAATTATCCATCCCCCATGGCATTATCTCATTGTTGAGAGACAGTGGTTTTCCTTCTTAAATTATTTCTGTGGCAACCTGGATTCAATAGTTATATCTTTGTAATGGTTTTTAAATAAGATCTCCTCCCCTACCTTTTGTGTGGGAGTAGTAAAATAAAGGGATTTGAGAAGACACTGATAGTATGCACATATGTCTTACAGCTGCTTTAAAAATTAAAGTATGTTAAGGAGAGGATTCCTCCACAGTACTGTAGTGTGACCCTACAGTCCCAACAGACTTTTGCCTTAACATTTGAAATTGTCAACAGACTGATTATTTCCATACTGAGACATTTAACTGATCTTGCCTTAAAGCAAAGCTTTCTAATTAAAAGACACTATAAAGAACAAAAACATGAGAAACTTGAAAATTTGGAATCTAATCTTACAGAACTAAAAAAAGCCCAAATGAGTGTTTAAGAACAGTTTCTTTGCATACAGGTACACTGTACTTATTCTGTCTTTATCCTCCTTTCTGCCTTGCAAGAAGCTTTAAGAATCACAGATCAGATGGGGAATTTTTGGTGACTTCTCTCACAAACTATACCCCTGCAGATCCTAAAATTTGAAAAATTCAGATACTTTTCTACAAAGAGAAAAACGGGTATGCATTGGCTAAGTTGTGTGTAAAATCATGCTAAACTGTTCTGAAAAAGGTATAAGTTATCTGCATTTTATGACATAGTAAATTTCTCCCCTTTCCTGTCCTTCACCTCAGTGAAGAGTTTCACAAGGAAGCCAAAGCTTGATCTCTGTTTTAAAATAGTGGGAAGAATTTGCCTGCATTCTAAGCATTAATGTCAAGCAGTAGGCAGAATAAATAACATTTTAAGCATTTTGCATATTCAGTACTAATTGCATCTTCATTTATAAAAGATCATTATTTTGAAGCAATTCCAGTTAGCTGCAGTGCAAGTGATGCACAGATTACTAAGAGACAGAAGCATATTTGCTGTGAGAGGGAGTACAGGCATTCCTATAATCAGGAAATAGGGTTGATGCTCTCAAGCATCAGTGTGGTCTCTCACTAACATCAGATCTTATCTCCTGGTGCCTCGCACACAACCCCAGACTGCTTTTGGATATGGCACTAGATAGAAGGCATCACTTTTTTTGTACATTAATTATCTCAAAATTCAAGAAAGTTGAGTTCAACGGTCTGTTTTCTCACACATGTACTGCCCAGTCTATTGCAGGCAGCCCAGATCTACAAGCTTAGGGGCTACAAGAATGCAGTCATCATCCTCTGGCTTCAAAGAGACATGATACTGCCTGATAAAATGTTTTTTCTGAATGATTTTTCCCAGTGGATCCAGTGCTGCAAAACTGGGGAGGTGGGAGAGAGGGGGAAGTATTTTTCCTCATTTCATTAGCTGCATACCACTCTTGCTTTTCCCCCTTCCTCACTCCCACATTCTTATTCTGAAGACTATGAAAGTTTTTCTAGCTCTTCCTTTTTTACATCATTTCTTAAATATTCTGTCCCACAAAAGAAATGGAATTGTTTCTAACTGCTTCAAAATAAATTCTGAAATATTCATATAACCTGTCACATTATTTTTTCTCTGCAAGCTAGAACAAGCCCTGGAAGTCTCCTTTGTCAAGTACATGATCCTGTCAACCCACTGAAAGTCTTACTTTAGTGAGAAGTCCTTGAAGAAGCTGTTCTACAGGTGTGCAAACATAGAGAATCAAATGACTCGTTGCTAACAAGCACCAAACTGTATTTCAAAGAAAGAGAGGAAATACTTCTTCCCTGCAACATGCTTACACTTCAAGCTCTGTTACCTCAAATGCATTTTTGTACCCTTTTTCATATCTTCCTTACAATTCAGTCACACATATCATTTTACTTTAAGTGCTTTATCTATTTATGGTGTGGTGCTACCTCAAATATCTTGGATACATTTCACCACTGAGCCCTAATTTTGCACACCCCAAATTAGAAATTTAAGCATCAGTTATAGTGTGTGTCCATTACAAAGCTTTCACTTGAGGCATGGAGACGGCTGACATCATCCATGGCAGAGTTCATCACGCCCTGCCTGGGTTAGCCAGATGCTCTTCCAACCACAGGAAACCATTCTTATCCTTTTGAAGATTCTTGTTACATGTGAGGAAGAACACCTGTGTAATCTTCAGTTGCTTACCTACTCACGAGAGAAGGCTGTACATTGTCTAATCCACAATACTGCATAAATGCTAATTGTGTCTTCCCTTAAACTAAAAACAGAACAGCACTCTGGAAGAAAACAAGGAGAACATGTTTGGTGGAGTGGAGAGCTTGTAAATGTCAGTTCCACCAACTTGATCCTGAACTTGCAGCGAGAGAACAAGACTAATGAAATGCAGATTTTCTAGCATAAAGAGCAAGTGCTACATAATAAAGCTTGTTCTTGCATAAACTTTAAGAAAATGTATTAGTTTTCTAATTGGAACTGATTAAGCAATTCTGC